TGGAAAGTAATGACGGAAGACAATGATGTTAACACTGGAGTTCTGCAGACATCTACATATACATGGGTGCCCAACCTCATACATACGTGTGCACACCACAGACATCCCTATCTACAAAAGAAATTTAAATGGTTTTCTTTATTCTACTCACCAGCTACTGAAATCAACGAGTTATCTAAGAACGATATAGTCAGAAGTAAATCTGAACTTAAAATCCTCCAGCATGTCTAAAATATATTCACTAAATGTTAGTTAATTCCACTGACAGGACTTTAAATAATTTTAAAACCTTATTTTCAGAATATATTACAATATTAGATTTTTACAAAATAAAAGTAGTAGGCTGGTTAAAAGTATTGGCTCAACTTGTAGAGGACCTTGGGTTTGGATCACAGCACCCACATGATGGCTCACAGCTGTCTGTAACTCCAGTTCCAGAAAATCTGATGTCCATTTTCTGGTGTCTGAGGGCAGAACACGTGATACACACACAGAAATGCAGACAAAACACTCATACTTAAAACATGTAAATAAAAGTAAATTTAAAAATAGGTCATTATTTCAAAGCCAGTAACAAATGTTTCCTTAAATGGCTACATGTTCTCTCTCATTTCAATAACTCTGCATTAGTACAATTCTGTGCTCAGGTGACAGCTGGCAACATCTGGGTTTGTCATAACTTGGGTGATAAGGATATAGGTAGTAGTCAAAGACGCTGACTGATATTGCTAATGGGATGGGGAGGGACTCTTCCCAACACACATAACTTTCCAAAGCAATGCACTAAGTTCGAGTAATAACACCACAGCAGAAAAATAAGAAAGGATGAAGTTGTCTCTTGAGATGGCTCAGTGGATTAAGGCACCGGTTGCCAAGTCTGTAGACCTGAGTTTGATCCCTAGGACCCACAGGGTAGAAGGAGAGAACTAGCCCCCAAAAGTTGTCCTCTGATCTCCACATACACACTGTGATAACTCTTCTTGGCTATCAACTTGACAACATCTGTAATTAACTATAAACCCAAGCAGTGGGACACACCTGTGAAGGGATTTTTTGTTAACTGGACCATTTGAGGTTGAAGACCCACCTTAAATCCAGATCTCTTAAGATCAAAAGGACTCACCCTAAATTTAGGCCACACCTTCTCCTGGCAGCCTATACAATGGATGAAAAAGGAGCTTTTGCCTGCTTGCCCTGGTTCTTGCTGGCAAATTCATCCCTTCACTGGTATTAGAATCTACCTATTTGGGATTTCAGTGTTTATTAAAGACCAGCTGAGACATTCAACCTCCTGGGCTGAACAACTACTAGATTCCTGGATATTCTGTCATGAGACTGATATTGTTGAAACAGTCAAACCACAGCCTGTAAGCCATTCTAATAAGTTCACACGCACACGCACCCCACATAGTCTATCAGTCTGTTCTTCTAGAGAACTCTAACCAGTAAACACATACAGCATGCATACTATAAAAGGAAGGATGAAGAGTCTTCTGACTAGGTAATAACATTGCCGATCTGTGAAGATAGAAGAGAACTGAAGAGCAAGTGACTGACCCCCAAAGTAACCCTACCCTTTGCCAAAACCCATGTGTTAACTAGTAACACATGATAGGACAGAAAAAGAAAAAACATATGTCAAGACTGATAAATGGTAGTCTCTGAATAATAAAAACTGAGATATTTACTAAGCTGCAGAAAACTGTAATTTACATGTTCAAGATTTAAATCCTTAAAGAACTCACTGTTCTTCAATACTTATAATTATTTTTACTAAACTTAATTTTCTACATGAAGTAAATTAAAAACCTAGAGTGGTCTAAACTTCCATATTTTTTAATTAAATATTGGAATTATACATTTCCATTACAACAATCTGCTAAGAGTCTGGAAATGTTAACGTCTAAGGCTATCAGCGCCATGACTAGAGATGCTGAATGAGAATCAAGTGTGAGGGCAACACTCCAGATGACTCCTGTGCCCTCACCTGACATCATGGCGGCAATCAAACAACACTAGAGAAATTAAGAACTTGTCCAATTTAAAATTGCAAGTAAAATTCAGTCATCCAAAAAAGGGAATATTACCTTTTAACAATGACAGGTGAAGGTGGTATCTCTCTCCACCACACTTGACTCTATGACAGAGTTCAGGCAGTAGCTTTTTCCACCAAAGAATCTATCTTATAGAAAAATAAATACATTTTAGTTTGGTGCATCTTATCCTCAGACTTCTAATAAGAGTAAGGAGGCTATGCAGGAGAGATTACACAGAAAAATGATATCCGTTGGTCAAGGAATCACCTCTATTATAACAAGAATTTTATCAGCAGCAGGTTCCTGATGAAACTTAAAAGGCAGGCCTGTAACTTGAGGTACACATGTACACACTTATTTTCAAGGAAAAATGTGGATATGTCCTCTTTTTATCTTGGTTGACAAGAAGGGGAAAAAAGTCAAATGCTAAAGCTGAAACTAACATATAGAGCCAAATATAGAAACTTACATATAGAGCCAAATATAGACCAAATATAGAGACGGAATTCCCCCCCGCCACACATTATGACTCCACACCTTCAAGTACTCAATAATCTTATCTGAAAAGAACTCTTTAGAGATTAGATATATCATCCTCATGCATTTTAATAGCATCTACAAGTATTCAAAATATCTACCATTAAACATACATGTTCTTCAGCCACACAGCCTTATGAAGCTAAACTAACATAAACAGTCCTCATTCTGCAGATAACCCAACAAAATTACCAAATCTTATTGCCACTGGTCAAGGCTAGAAGCACAATCTGAAATACATACCCAGTGATCATCCTTCAGTTCCTGATTAGCATACGCAATGACTGCCTCTGGACATTTCTCAAGCAAGGTGTCTATGCACTGTTCATACTCTCGTAACCGTGTATGACATAGAACATGAACACTGAGGCCAGCAACAGTGTCTTCCGAGAGTGGCTCCAGAAACGGAATAATGGAAGCTATGTCCAACGAAGGGCTACATATGAGAGACTATGAAGAGAAAAGTGAAATATGAAATGAAGGATCCCAAATGAAACACAACATACAGCATTTTCTTTTCAAAATAATAAAATTCCACTTTACCAAAAAAGGAAAGAAAATGCAATTTTAGAAAACATGAATATGGCCCCGGAGTACTTGGACTCAAGTACTAAATAATCTCACATTCAATTCTACTTTTTAAAAAGTTGTTTAATACAAAGCAGTCATCTTTTTTCTTTTCTTTTTGTTTTGTTTTGTTTTTTGTTTTTGTTTTTCGAGACAGGGTTTCTCTGTATAGCCCTGGTTGTCCTGAAACTCACTCTGTCAACCAGGCTGGCTTCAAACTCAGAAATCCACCTGCCTCTGCCTCCCAAGTGCTGGGATTAATGGCATGTGCCACCACTGCCTGGCCAGCAGTCATCTTTAATTGGGACTCTAACCTAAGAATATGATCAACATGTGGTCAAAGATTTATGTCCATAGAGCTTGGCACAAGTATTTATAACACTGAAAGACCATGGGTGGTTGCATGTCCAAAAAGAAGGAATCAAATAAATAAACTATGGTTTATTTTATAAATTATATTTCCAAAGGTCAGTTAAGAAGAAAATATGACAAAACTGAGTCAAAACATATTGAGATAAAATTGTATTCAGAGTGTGACCAATGTTGTAAATTCACAGTGTATAAAACCTTTATAGTAAGGTTTCTGGAAGAATACTGCAATTTAAAAAGGGGATTAACTCAGGGCTTGATGGGTTGACCAAAGTCCTGATTGCTTTGTTTTCTTTTAACACTTCTTTGTTTTTTCCAAATTTAAATAATGAGCACATAAAGTGTGTATGTGTGTGCGAAAGAGACACGGGGGGGGGGGGAGGGAGGGAGGGAGAGAGAGAGAGAGAGAGAGAGAGAGAGAGAGAAAACTATCCTCACTAGCATTAACTGTCACCTTAGTGGATTGAATGCCCTTATTAGTTTAATCTGTGGCATGACTATGAGGTACTGTCTTGATTGTTAATTGATGGAGAAGTCAGCAGCAGTTCCCTGGGCAACTGGTCCTTGGCTATAAAGTCAGCTTGCTGACCAACTCAGCTACCACCCAGGCCCAAATAAAAGACTGTAAGTTGGTCTAAGTTGGTCTACCTCAACATCTAGCCCACCTGTGAACTGCTAGAGCTGGTGAAGGGACCAGTCCAGCAGATCCAAAGCTGCAAGATCTCCATAACACAGGCCAACAATAGGATATCTGAGAGAAGTCCCAGTAAAGGTCTAGTATTGATAGTGTAGCAGAAGCCAGAGGCTTCGAACCAGATCAATGACTCATTGCAATGAACATTTGCAAATAAAGATGTGTTGACAAAAGGGTATAGCGTGTGATACTCCATACACTACAGCTTCCATGATGAGGTACCTCCACACCCACCTCCTTTTTCTGTTTGTTTGTTTGTTTTTTACTTTCTTTTGTGGGGAGGTTGCAAAGGCAGAGGGTAGATACAAAGGAACAGAGAGATGAGTAGAATTGGGGTGCATGATGTGAAATTCACAAAGAATCAATACAAAGTTTAAAAAAAAAAAAAAAGAAAGCCTCCCATGCACTAATGACAGGTGTTACTTCAACAGTCATACATTTACTAGTATTTTCCTTTTAAGCAACTTTACTAGGTTTTTTGTTTTTGGTTTTTGTTTTTTTTTTTTGGTTTTTGGATTTTTGTTTTTCGAGACAGGGCTTCTCTTATAGCCTGGGCTGTCCTGGAACTCACTCTGTAGACCAGGCTGGCCTTGAACTCAGAAATCCGCCTGCCTCTGCCTCCCAAGTGCTGAGATTAAAGGCGTGCGCCACCACTGCCCGACTGCAACTTTACTAGTTTTTAATTTTCACATTCTATAGCACTTTTTGTTTTACCATCAAAATAATCTCCATTTTTATTTTTCTATAAGAGATATAATTATGGCTTAATTTCCTTTCCTGTATCTTTTCTGCTACAGCATCATCTCAGAGTTACAGGATGAACTGGAACATCCTCTATACACTGTTAATCAGCATGATTATTTTATTCTGAATATCTACCAAGGAGTAGCCAGGAAAATAAGGTTGGTATATATATTTTTTTATCCCAAGCTAAATAATTTATCTGGATAATTTCCTGGTAGTAAAATAGCAACCATGAAATAAAGTGAGACTCTCCTACTTATACGGAAGGAGGCCAGAGCCCTGATTTAATATGATAGTAGGAGAGACAAAAGCGTGGGTACCCAATAACAGCTGAGATGAAACCAGTCCAGACAGTACAAGGTGAACTACCTATACAGTTTTAGTAAGAATTTTAAACAGCAGTATAACTCTAAAGAGCACTTAGCCAGGGGTGGCATCATACCCTACAAATTCAGCACTAACAGATGATTTGGAGGCAATGTGGACCACACAGGGAATTCCAGGTCAGCCTAGCTTCATAAAAAGAAACTATCTCAAATAGATAAGTAAATATTCAACATCGGACTGAAAATGGCCCAAATAATGTAAAATTCTGCAATGGTTGGTTTCTTATTTTCATTTTTTCCCCAATACTGGAAATCAACTCTCTTCACTCTTAACATATGTGCTATTTATTCCTTTTTGCTACAAAGATCTCTCTGCCTAAGGTCTGATTCAGCAGATTTCTCTAATTCTCTACTTTTACAGGCAAGGATATGGAGAGGTGGTGTACAAGGGGTAGGTACCCGGACAATCTGGGAAAGGAGCAAATATTTGCTAGTCATGGTGTTCTCTCTCACTGATCAATAGTTGCTCTCTAACTTATTAGTGATATAGATTTTATACTTATTATTATACAAATATGCCCCTGAAGTAACTGTAGACAAACATACCAAACCACAGTGCTGGGGAGAGAGACACAATTCTGGAAACATACTTAGGTAATTCCTCCAACACCTCTAAATAGGAGCCAAAGAGACCCTTGGGAATTCTGATGCTTACCCTTCTTAATGACTGAGAGTAAATGATCTGTGGATAATCTTGAAAGAAGCATAACCCAGGGAGAGATTTGGAAAAGTTTAATCAGTATATTTTCCATCTTTAAGAGCAAAAACTCTCAGAAAAGGATGAAAGTAATACATAGAAACTGGGAGCATTATGAGAAGACTACAAAGCAGAGGCATAGATGAGAGGGAAGAGTCTCATGTCAATGGCACAGAGCAGATTTTCAACATAATAATTATAGAGAACTCTCAGACTAAGGAAAAACACAACCATACAGACACACAGGACACCAACAAGAACAAGAAAAGAAATTCCCCACAGAACATCAAGTTAAAACACTAAACATACACAACAAAGAGGATACTGAAAGCAACAAGAGAAAAGGCACAGGTCCTATATAAACACAGCAGAACAACTGCTGATGGAGACTGAACCCCAGAAAAGTCTGGTGCAATGCACCCCAAAAGACCACATATGCCAAACAAGACTACTTTACGCAACATAGTTGAAGAAGGAAAAAATTTTCATGATATAAACAGGGTAAAGGAATGTGTCCACCAAGCCAGACCCACTGAGAATTCTAGAAGCCATTCTTTAGACTGACAAGAGGATAGAGAAAACAAATGAAGCCATCGTAACAAGAACATTAAATGAGACAGAGAATTCCCCCACAAACACACACAACAAAATACAGCAATCAACAAATCCTTTTCAATACTAACTTTAAGTACTGGCTTCAACTTCCCAATCAAAACAAAAGTTAATTGAAAGGATTAACAAAAATTCATCTTTTGTTACCTACAAGGATTTTAAATGATCACTGAATTATACCTTTTGACTGTGATTATAAATGTGCTTTGAAGTTCTATCAGTAAAATTTTCATAGCATATTACAACTTTAATTACATCACTGATCTGAACGTTGGAGGACAAGGCCTGATTTAGTCTCCCACACTTACTCTAATTCTCAGACAGTAGCTATCAAATGAACAAACAAGCAGCTAACACCTCAGGACTTTCAGTGTATATATGTACCAGAGATAAGATACAGAGAATCTTCTTTAGTGATATATTGTTGCAGTTAACTAATAAACTACTGAGGCTGCACTTGAATTCATGATTCTTCTGTCTCAGCCTCCAAAGTTCTAGAATGACAAGCATGTACAACCATACCAAATTCTGGTGATTTAAAAAAAAGAATATAGGCCACACAGTCTGGAGCCTGAGTCTAAATAATCTAGCCTCCTGATTTTCCTTTTCCAGCCCATCCCCAGCTCAACAGCTGTGTCTACGATAAAAAAAAAAAAAATGCACATTTTGACAAATTCCTAAAGTTTAAATCAGGAATTACACATCCAAAACGTAAAAGGCTCAAGCAGAAGAGAAATGCCTAGGGGCACTTGGGTATAAGAAAAGACTTGAGAGCCTCAGCAACTGGATGAGAAGCCATGGAGATAAGAGTGGTGTGGACTCAACATGTTGTACACTGCTCAGCCAGGAGCATCTGCACACCAGGCCTCGGGAACAGTGCAGGGCACAGGTGGCCAGTGCTTCTGAATTTTTCAAGTGTATCATTTAACTCAAAATTCCTAATATGAAATGTTGATTTCTATATGTGGCTAGCTACAGTGAGTAAACAAAACAAAAGAGGTGAAAATTAGATTTAGTCCTTGGGTCAACAAATGATATTTAATAAAAAGATACATTTAGCCCAGCCTGACCTACCATGTCACATGCAGAAAGTTATAGTCAGAATTCCTATACCATAATTGTGTCCCACAATTCTTTTGAAAACTTCTCTTCTGGAGTCAGATAAACTGGCTACTTTGACATATTACTCATAAGACAGATGGTATTGGTTGGGTAGGTATGAAGTCTAAATTGTGTTAAGCCACGTTAAACAAAGCTCATTCTTACAAAAGAACCCTATATATGTGGACACTTTTATTTCCCACAGGTGTTTCCAAGTACATTCTAAAAATGAAGAGAGTTGTACAGCTCATTTACCTGCAACAAGACCAGTCCCTCAGCTCAGATGCTTCATCCGTCAGCAGGTCCACCCAGAAGCCAGGATTCCAAAGCTCCTAATTGTGATAAACTATATATTGTTGCCCCTCAAAAGCTATATTCTAAACTAACCAGACATGTGATATTATCACACATTTAAACTGTATACTATATTGTAACATACTACATATTTTAAAAAGTAAGAGAGGTGTCTTCATTTACCTGTAATTTCAAAAGATCTTCTGTGTAATTTTTATCAACTAAGGAATCAGACATCATTAAGACATGAATCCACGGATATATTAAGCCATAATGACTGCAGGCATTTATCTGAAACATTACAGACATGCATCATAAGCCAAATATAACAATAGCAAAACAATTTCTTCATCCATTCACTAATCCTCTGCCACATCTTAGACTCAGTTACAAACTCTCCTAGGAAATGGAAGCTTTGCAGATGTATTTCCCTGAAAAAGGTTACAGTCTCGCTGCTTCCACATCAAATAATCTGCAAGGAATATTTCCTAATATTTTGAAATTTAAAAATATTCTATAGAAGTGCTTTCTAGAAAAAATAAAAATAGCACTGTTCCTAAGATAATTATACTCAAAAAGAGTAAAAGATAACAGTAGAAATAATTTTTATTTATAGCATTTGGGGGGTGACAAAATATCCTTTTAAGGCTCATGATGATTGCCTGGAGCATCCTTTATCCAAGAAACGACACTGGTGACCTTTCCAGTCACTGCATAGTACCCACAGCAGCCATGGCAACAGGATTCTATGGAAAACAGAGCAGGATGGGTGGGTACCAAAGGCTGTCACAGCTGCCTACAACATACCTGAAGCCCAAGTGTGGCCCTGACAGAAAACAGAAGGGCAGTGCCCCTTGCCTCTGAGGTAACAGAGCAGTTTTGGAAAAAAGTCCCTTCCATGCTGTGACACTGCAGAATGGTAATAAAGGCCATACTCTTTATTTGGAGGGCATGGAATCTGAGATGGGTGAGGGTCTCATGTGGAGCCCTGGCTGGCCTGAAAATCCCTTTATATACCAGGTTTGCCTGGAACTCACAGAGACTCACCTGCCCTCTGCCTTCTGAGTGGTAAGAGTAAAGGCATTAACCATGACAATTTCTCTCCTTCTACTGTGGGTCCGAGGGATGAAACTTAGGTCACCAGATGTGGCAGCAAGGGTCTTTATGGGATAAGCAATATCAGCAGCCCCAGTTGGTATTCTTTAGAATGGGAAAGTATGTAAGAGGTAGGTAACTTCAGTCATAGGTATGTTCTAAGCACTAAAAATAAGGTAGAGTCTATGACGATAGCATCAGTGGGTAATGTGCTTATTTCACAAAAATGAAAACTTGACTTTGAGTCCTAGAACCTGGAAAATGTCAGGTGTGCTGATACAAGTTTGTAATCTCAATGTTGAGGAGGCAAAACAGAGGATACCTAGGCCCCTGGACAGCTTGTATCTTACATGTCAATAATAGTCCCTGTTGCAAAATAGGGACAGAGTCCCTAAGAATGACACCTGAAGAATGACACCTAAGACGTCTACTCTATACGTAGGGCATCTATACATCTACTACACTAGCTCCGTCTCTCTTAAAACAAAACAAAAACAAAAAACAAAAAACAAACACCTAAAGAGATTATTGCAGCACATATTGTATGCATTTACAGTATTTCATTGTCTTACCAAATCCTCTGCTGTTCTCAGCGGTGTGGTATCAGGACACTGCCTCTCTGATAACCTCCAGACGTACTGAGATATGAGCTTGAAAGAGAGCTCCTCAAGTACCACATCTGGGAGACAGGCTACAAGCTGAGCTTCCCAGAAGTCTACCAAAAGCTGAGGAACTGTGTCTTCACCTTTCCCACACAGTACCTAAAAAAGAGAGCATCCACGTCAATGCAGAGCCAGTGACAGAGCGACAGCAGAGCTATCCATCCCTCCATCATGTGGTCATGCAGTTCATAAGTTTGGCTTGACTACCATGGCAAGAACAAAGTTATTTTCTGTTAATAGGAAACAGACTCTAGGTGGCACTCATGGAGTTTCTGCAGAAACAGTCTTTTAATCTATATGCTTACATTATAAACTGATTATACAGAAGTCTACTTTTCAATTATGAATGAAACCTCACTTCAGTTCTATTTCCTATTCTCCTTTGGTTTCTATCAGATCACTCAGAAAAATTACATTTTCAGCTGGACAAACCTTAAAGAAAGAATCAGCTTCTTCAATTCCAATTTTACCATTCTTCTGTAAGCCCAGGACTGAAGCCACCAGCAATCCAGGCCGAGTTTCCTTCAAGTGAATTGCAAGTTCAGTAGGAACAATATGTCCTTTCCACTGCTGAATTAACAGCCGGGGTTCCAGAATGAAGCCATACACCAGCTTCATCTTCAGATTAAAAAAAAAAAAAATGTTAGAATGAAATGCACATTGTATCTACAGTATTCATCTCATCCTAGTGTCTTCATGGATTAGGGGCCAGTTATTAACACTGTATTTCTGGGTTTTAGCCACAAAAACTAGCTCTTATTCCCAAGAAGAATATTAGTATCTTTCTCATATAAATTATTAATGGATAACTAAACTGAGATGATCCATTTTTGTAAAGAATTTTCGATTAGGAATGCATACACACACACACACACACACACACACACACACACACACACACACACACAC